AGCCCATTACTAATTTGTCCTAGGTTACACGGTGTTTTCCGGGGAAACCTTACCCTCCTTTTGGGGGTTTGCCTCAAACTTGTACGGTATTTGTCATGGAATGTTTATTAAATGCTCCAAGACATAGTTTTGTTGGCACTAGAGCTAAATTGGTGTGCATGTCTGCCAAGTATATGAGTGCTGCGTCTACTTAGATGACGTGTACAGTTCCGTTCAACAGAATTTGGCAGCTCTATGCAGAATGTTTCAGCACGATCCTATGACACTTCTTGCGTTTAACTTAAAATACTGCCGCTGATATATGCACGTGCAAGCAGGAATTCAGGAACTCTAATCATACATTCATCTGTCAATGCCGAAAACTAAAGTAGGTCTGCATTTTTGCACCATGTTTAATTCCTACTTTTGGAAAAATACTGTAATATTAACTTGTACTTGTAGCGGAAACTTAACAATTATCGATATAACATGGCCACCGTCTATTTTGCGTGCTGGGCACTGGGCATATTAACATAATATTGGTCTATAACTAGTGTCTATAGGAGTGAGCGCCCGGGTCTTTGTTTATTAAAATAAGTCTTGTCTCCTAGTTCTATAATTGTTATGAATGTCATAATTCATGTGGATATTGGATGATCATATTGCAATTACACTTGATTGTGAGAAGTGTTCCTTTTGTTGGCAATTACCCAAATGCTAGTTGCCGTGTGTATTGAGGAACGCATAGTATTAGTTATTTCTTTTTAACGTTCTCTAGACAGTTTCAAGATGTGAACTTGGGTTCAGTAGGATAAAGTTTAAACATTTAATCGATGCTTGTCGCTTCTGACGACGATCGGAAGCTTGCCAAGGACAATATGGTGTGCCAATTGTCGTCAGATTGGTAGTGGACACTGGACACTGGACAGCTGCTCTGCTTGCTGGAGCTCTAAACAGGAGATATACGTTCCGTATCTTACTTTGTTTTATTGTGTGAAACACAATGGTTTTTGTTTTTTCTCACGATCATATATACAAGATAGCTCCACTAACTACCTTTCTTGCAACTCTGCGATACTCTAGTAGCAGTATGTATAGTGTATACAGTATAATAGTAAGGGTCATGTTTTGCATGCCGTATCGCCAGTAGTACAGTAGTACTGGAGTGTTTTACTTATATCGCACGTGCTTCTAAAATTAGGAGTACGTATCGTACCTTATACCTGCTAACTTTTAGTATTGACGCTCAGTAGTGCCTTCTTTTGCAATTGTGTTCGGCAAAGTAACAAAGTAAGATAAAATGTGATGATCAAGGTTGAAACTCCCTCGCGTTCTGTGTAATCTCTTATCTAGACTATTATCTAGACTAAAACAATTTATGTAAGTTTTTTCATGATTTGAATTATAAATTCATGGGATGCGTTATCTTGAATATTTAACAAGATAGGGTGTGTCATGAAACAGTGTGGCGTCTTGTTTAACAAGAAACCCTATGATAGGGTTACCCTATCATAAGACGCCCTACCTCATCACTGATGACATGATTACATGTTAAGATCAAGTACCCCTTGCCGTAATCATCCAAACATTGCACGTTTTTTAGAAACGCCCGCTTTCGTCAGTGGATCTAATTATTTCATGCAAAAAGTCACCAGAACAGCTGGAGAATATGAGACCGAGGGATTATTATATATATATATTTATGGCAGTAGCAAACAACGACAGTATACTATACTGTCGATGTTGACTACTGCCATAAAGAGTAGATTTAAAAGAGGGTATTTGTACCCGTGCGGCCGTTGTTACCATGTTTAATACCCTACACTAATATCTTGTTTTGTCTTTATGACATGTCTTAAATTTAAAATTGGACCTGCAGTTTTACAACAACTTTTGTATATTTCTATATGTGAAATCCTATAAAAAGCTAAAAAGCTCTTTTATAGGCGGTATAGCTATAGCAGTTTAACCTTTGAGGTGTGAACTGACACTGGTATATATACTAATGTACTTCAGTACTATAATACTTGTCACCTTGTGTATTCCAGTGCAAACCGTTTTAAATTTTATATGGAACACGTGTTTTGGTACGTACTCAGAAACGTCCGCGTTCCGAGTTCCTATTAGCGCACTTCCCGCTTAGTTAGATTTGGAATGTTTCTGTAATTACCAGTATATCCTGTCCAGTCTATACAAAATCATAATTACTTCCATCTCTATACTATTAGTTTTCATATAAGTCTCATGGAAAACATATCCGTTATTTGTAACTGTATTTTGTATCATTACAGTTATTTCATTCTCATATCAATTGAATACTATGTTTCCCCGGGCGAATCCAGTGACTCTAACGAGAGTTAGAGTTTACAGTGCATGGTCAGCTGCGTTTCTAGTTGTACTACGGAGAAGTATAATTGGTCCGGGCCCGGCGCTGCACGGTGGTAATTGTTTTATAGCTTGCCATTTACTTCTCCCTAATTTAGACTTGTATTGTCTTGCTCCATGTCTTCCTCCTCCCTCCCCCTCTCCTCGCTTCTCTAGTTGGCCAGTGCTTTAAACCGTTATTTACCGTCTGATTTGGGGACATGATAGGCAGTTACATTGGGGTTACTTTAGCCCCCCGAGGTTTATTTAGCCTCCGAGATGGTTAGAATTTCTTTAAATTGACAGTTTACTGTCAACCGGCTACCATTAATTTGTCTTTTCCGTGAACCAAATTTAAATGTGGTTGTTTATTGGTCCTTCTTCCAATCAGTCAACTGTCAGTTACCTGTAACCACATTACCCCAAGAGGATGTCTCAACATGTCTCAATGTGTCTCATGGTTCAGTTTGCTGGAATTCTTGCGTGTAGGGCCCTCATTATTTCACTTCTTTATTAGTTTATTGCAGTTTCTGTCCAAATTTTTGGTTGACACTTGACAACTCTTTGGTTCTTATTTCATAAGAAATTTTTCAAATTCTTGAAACGCCTTCTCCCTTGTTTAAAGTCATAACAACTGTCACCCACCACCACCGCAATCACATACCTTAAACTTAATTAGACCTAAACTTGCGGCTAGCCCCCTCCTCCCTTCACAAAACACTTGACACCTCGCTCTATGTTGATTGTTACGAGTGAGCTGTGTTTGGAGCGTACATCCGCCCTCCAGAGTGCTGCCTCACCCCGGTGTTTTAACCCCACAATAGAGGTGAGCCATGAAGTTGTGAAACCTTAATCACTCCAACTATTTACGTGCTAACTCCTCCTCGTAGTCTTGTGTAGTGTGTCAAGTACCCTGCTCCTTTGTCAAGTTAATTGTGCGAGTCTCGCGAGTTTCTCCGGGAAATTTCCATTCTCCGGGAGCTCTGAGGCGGATATTATCCCCTGGTCTACTAAGATATTTAAACTTTGTTAGATTGTTAGATCTGCTCCCGCGTCGTCCTGGTCGGGTCCGTCAGGTACTTAGTCGGTTAAACGCTACTCAGTTTTGTTATCATTATTCATTAGGTTGTACTTTTTGGAATTCTGGTTTATACGCTTGTTGTGTTTGAGCTTTTCTTAGCTTGACCTATGTTCAATGAGTAGTTAGTACTATCATTTTTAGCGCGCGACTGTAATAAGTGTTAGTTTCAGTCTTATATTTACGATCGTTTCATTCGTCTGTGACTTTGACAGTCTCTTAAGTTCAAACCTTTCATTTCTTGGTAACACGATTGCAGTGAGTTTCATGAGTTGCAGTGATCCTGGTACGTGTAAAATGTAAATCCACTCACACGCGTCTTCTTTGTTACTGTTAGCAAGTTATTATTGACCGGGCTAACGAATTGCGGGCCATATTATTTACTACCCCTATATCATGTTAACTTTTCAAATAGTTATCTTAATCGTTTTCGTATGGTGCTTACGTTAATTATTTTTTTGCCGACAACAGTGCTTATTTCTGTTCGATCATGACTTTTTATCGTTTTTCTGTTCCGTTTGTCAGAGTAAGTCCAGTGACCAGCAATATATTTATAGACCGCACCTTATCTGTGTTAGCTTAAATTAATCAAGCCACGTAGTATTCTATTTGTTGCACGTTAATTGAGGTTAATTATGGTTGCACAGCGCTGTGAAACTGAGATAATATGGCCAATCACCTGCTCACCAGGCCTATCAGGTCTAGGTTAGTAATTGGGTCTCAAGGTATGTGGTTATCTTGCTTCCAGTGACAAGATACGAGATACGAGATATTAACGAGGTCCCGGAATGTGGTGTCCACTTTCTGATTGTCCAATCTAGTTATAGTACCTGTCTAGTACCTGTCAAGCATAGCTGATTTAAGGTCTGATTGCTCGCTTGTTCGCCTTATCACAAAACATAAAAGACGACGCTCCGATGTTTCTTTCAGCTTACTTCATTTCTTGCACGTAATGCAATTACTGCTTATTCTTCCCTTGCAAATTGAAAAATTGACGGCCCTGAGAACACCACTCTCTCATTTCTCTTCAGGCTTAGCGGACTACCTTTTAAACTGTTTTTACAGAAGACCTGTCTCATCATATTACCAGCTAATTTTCTTCATTAACTTTTAATGAAAATTCTTTAGCCTTCACAGACGCGCGTGTCGTCTCATTTCTCAGATGGCTCCTGGGAAATTTGCATACCGTCTGTGAAGTTTCTCGTAACGGTTAAATAAGTTGCAATTTTGTGTGACTGTGTGTGAAAGGATGGGTGTGTCGTGTTAGGATAGGGAAACTTCGACCTTTGATTGCACTCAGTAATTGTAAAACATGCTGTGTGTCGTTCCTTGTGATTACACCAAAATTCAATGCTACCTCTAAATTCCTCTGAATAATTATTAAGTCATTAAAAATCATTTGTTTTACGTGTATGACACTCTAGTTTTGATGTCTTAATAATCCCAGTAACTATGCCGCTTTTCGTTTAATAACTCCTGATTGTGCATTCTTATTCACATTTGAGCGGCTTGTATAATGTGTTGAATTGAAAGCTTTTAATTAGACAAGCTTTAAGATTAAAGCCTTTGTTATGTTCAGCAGTGTAGTTGGAGATGACTGGTATAGACACCACAATGGACACAGTGATAGAGTACCTGGAGAGTATGAACGACATGGCTGACAAGCTGATGGACGACAAGCTGATGGACAACTCCCAGCAGTTGCTGGAAGATCTTGAGATTATCACCGACTGGATGAACGACCTCCTTGATCTTAGAGTAAGAATTTAGAGACTTTAGAAGTTGGAACTCTGTGATTTTTTAGAGATAGTTTACTACATATAATGCTGTACTGTTACTGTCCAGTTAATTTAGAGATGAATTGAGATAAAGTTACAATGGACCCCATATTATAATGTTTAAAAGTTGACAGCCCTGCTAACACCCCACCCTGGCAGCTAGAAAGTGAGACTCTCCTGGAGAGGATACGGGACGGTGTTGTCCTGTGTCAGCTAACTAACGCTCTGTCCTCCACCGCCAGACTTGCTGGAGCTCCTAACCCTCCCCCTCCCGGTAAGATTCCGTTTCTCTATGCTAAAGTTAGGTTGTTTCTGTTTCAGTCTGCTGAAAGGCGTTATTGTTTCTGTTTCAGTCTGCCGAAAGTAGTTATTGTTTCTGTTGCAGTCTGCTGAAAGGTGTTATTGTTTCTGTTTCAGTCTGCTGAAAGGTGTTATTGTTTCTGTTTCAGTCTGCTGAAAGGTGTTATTGTTTCTGTTTCTGTCCATACTGAAATGGGTTCCTGTCTGCGCTAAGTGCTAAAATTGGCTATCGTTTCTGTCTGCTAAGTGATAGTTTGTTTGTCTGCTTGGTTTTTTGCTTGGTTTCTTGTCGCTTAGCTTTCAAAAGTTTAAACGGTGATGTTTTTAAATTTTTGAGGAATTTTGGAGCTCTGCAAGCTCCAGAATAAACCAAGTGTGAAATTTCACCGTCAAAAATAAATTTTTGTTTTAAAGTTTCCGAGTAACTTTTAAAGTCTTTAAAATTTGGGTTTGTACCTGCAAACTTGAGTAGGTCCAATTCTCGAGAAACTCGAGAATCGCAAGTTTTGTAATTTATAACGCTGGTTGCGTGCACAAAACCCACAGTTTCGTAGTTATTAAATTCATAATTATCCCTCTTTGAAGACTGTAGAAAAGCCCAAAAACAAATTAACGTTTATCAACAACCTGGGGATGGGAGCGGCCAATGGCATAAATTAATTTTTTTAAATGGCAAAAATAAAATGTAACGTGTTTTCTGCTGATGATATAAAAGGTGTAAGAGACCTTGTCCTCAGATCTTGTGGCACTTAGCATAACTGTGATAAAACATAACAATAAAGCCAAAAAAGCATCTAGAAGAATCAATATGAATCTGCCAGTTTTGGGTGGAAACGGTGCAATTCTCCGTGGCAGCCTCAGGAGAAAAATCCAAATAAATTATGTCTTCTATTTTACAATTCAATTGTAGACGCCAAAATCGAAACAATTTCGTAAACAATACCCGTAATTGTAGAGAGGGGTATAGGACACGAGGGCGAAGGACACAATAGCGGTGCTTTACTATTAATAACTGCATAACTGTAAAGCCAAGGAACAAAATGTTAACTTAAAACCATAGAAGTCTTATGATCGAATGGTATAAAATGGTATAAATGTCAGTTTGGACAAACATTTTAGCTATCTATGCCACAAAAATCTATGTCATTTTATCCCCCCCCCCCCTCCCCCAGGCCCTCTACGTAGTCCTACATTAACTTTTTCCTTCTTCACACTGACAACCCTCTCACAGGTATCAGACGGTACCACAAGAAGTGCAAGTCTGAGAGTATCCAGGCCAGAGACAACGTCTCCTCCTTCTCGTTGTGGTGTATGTTGTACGAGGTGCCCCCTGTCCTCATCTTATCTGCTGATGATGTGGTTATGGGGAGGAATGCTGCTTCTGTTGTCAGGTACCTGAACACTCATTTTATGTTAAGTTAATATAGGATGGCCTAGGCCCCAGAGGGCTAGGATTGCGTATAATTTGAATCAAGGAATGTCTCCAGACCTTTCATTTCTAGGCTTGTAGGCCCTGAAATGGAGCCATGAGATGTTTGATCGATCTCTGAGCACCACCCTGTATATAGTTTAACTATTAGTCTTTCGGTCAAATTTGATCTTCATTTACTTTTTATCACTCCGAAGCAACATGTACTAATTTATCGTGCATAAATGTTCGAGATGCCTATCTCTAATTTTAAATGTTGTGAAAATCAGACGACATCTACAAAAATTGTCTCGGTTTATTTGATTCTCACGATTTCACAAATTGTAAAAATTATGAAACTGTCGCATAAAGTGTACAAAATAAAATCATATCCATATTATATTCTCCTATGTTACCATGACACGTTCTGATACAGTGCGTGCTTTAAAAATGCAATTATTAGTATCGATTCAGTCTGAGGTTGGTCGATGGTTTTGAGGCTGATTGATCGCTGGCTTGCGGCGATAGTCTACCCTCTTCCTGTCTCAAAATTGAGTACCGTTTGGCACGTGGTCAGTGCTCAGGCCGCAATATCATAACGTTTTATATCATATTGTGCGTGTGATGATAAATTAATTGCTAAATTCTGTGAATCACACAGCAGCAGCTTGTCTTAGCTCATAAACTGTCGTTCGTGATTCTTCGCTCTGCTGAGCCCGACTGCGCATTACATAAACAGATATAGATAGCGATTATAAAACATATCCTTGTGTTTAACATCTAATAAGGCGTGTTTACAGTCTGCTCCTGTACTTGGTGAGGAAGAGTTCAGACTTCTCGCCGCCCACTCTCTCCAGAAAGTCTTCAACCTCCTCATCAACAGGTAACAAATTCTAAATTTAACCCGACTTTTTTTAGAATGTGGCGGGGTGTTTTTAAAAATATTACCGCTGTCTACAGCAATTAGTAATGTGTTATTGGATAACTGTCAAGTTTTCAACAGCAATGAAGCCTAGAATACAAAAAAGCCCATAATATAGTTTACACCATGGCCAAGCGTACATGAACATTCAACAATACAAATTAGACCTAACAGCCCGGTATTGATAGTAATACCACTGTGTCAATGTGACATGTGATCTGTGATCACTATTATAATAATATAGTAATATGTAGTAAGTTATCATTACATCTGTTCTTTTGTCAGGTTCATATTACGATAGAGTGAACCGCAGGAGCTTCTCTAGGAAGACTTCTATTGGTGACTGTTTCCAGTAAGTTGTTATAACATTTTCATAACCACTCAAACAAATCTATTTTTTCAACTTTTCCTAATTCGACATTCAATAAGTTTCTACTTTCTGTAGAAAGTCGCACTATGCCTGTTTTGTTTGTTAATGTAAGTTCAAAACTCCATAATAATGAGTCTATAAGTGTTGTGGGGGTTAGGAAATATATTATTGATATGGGAGGCTATTGTTTTAAAAGCTTTCACAAACCATATAAGTGGTCTAAACGGGCTTAAATTAGTGAATTTTGCATAAAATGGGTTATACTGTAATCTGTAGTTGCCATTTAAATTAGTTTACAATTATTTTATAATTTGGCAACTTTCAAGTGAGCCCGAAATAGGACATTTCCAAAACGACAATGTGTAAGTTATGCCTAATAACATCCTCGTCGATTTTTAAATTATTGTCCAGGGAGGAATTCAAGTTTGAAGCCTCAAGCTTTATTCAAAAGAAAATACTTCTCAATATTATTTGGCGATAATGTCAAACTAATTTGCGGACCATTAGATAATGATGAGCTTTTATGAAAGTAACCGGTGGATGTCAAACTGTCCCTACCTGAATGGTTTTCCGTACGCAAAAACGTCGGCAGGAAAAATTATTGACGATCTTGATCAATCACACTTATTCTTGGGATATTGTGACGCGCAGTAATTGTCCGCGGAGGTCACAGTTTCCTGAAATAGTGACCACGTATCAGTCCTCTCCTGTCGGCACTCTCCGGCGTTAGCCTCCTTACCATCCGTCCTAACAGTCGCTAGTTGTCCTAAATCTCTTGCCACGATAGCTAACCTAGCCTCTCACTCTAAGTCTTCTTGTCCTACCGTCACTCCGTACCTTCGTGAATTGGGCTAATAGGTGGGCTCCGCACCCTAACACTGAAACTTAAGCATTTGGACTTTGGAGCGTGCTCTGCATTCCTGCGGGGACTTCAGGACATTCTTACGAGTATTCACTATTCATCTGACTATAGCACTGCTACTCAGGGATCATTGGCATATTTCTTGTTATAAAAGCTGATGCTAAGTCTTAATTTTGTCAGTTGTAGTTTGCGGAACATACAATATCGTTCCCACTCCCTAAATATATCATAAATACAGTGTATCTATTTAATAAGAATGTGCAACTTGTAACAGTATGCGCTCGGTATTTGGCAAACTAAGTATTTGTAATCATTTGTAGAACTTCGAAATATTAATATCTCAATTTTTTCGCTCTAGCCCGTGCTTGGTTTCATACTTAATATTTGTGTGCATGTGCACACCATGAAACTTTATTCACGCTGTAGGATGAGCACCGCAGTGGTCATTAGCTCTGGCGCCAGTCTCATTATCTGCGGTGAATAATTTCTAATCATAGATTATTTTGATAATTGAATGCTACCACCAATTAGTAACGGTACGGTTTATTTATGTTGTCGAATATAGTTTAAATTAACGCAGGTTTCATCAATATTATTGGTAGGAGACGGTGCACTTCTGACTAGACAGCACTAATGGGGTTAATAGATACGCGGTTTTGTTTCTATCACGCTGCTTGAAATTGCGTTGAGCAGTACATTTGAGGACACGCCTTTTTTGGTATAAATCGTTAAAATGCTGTCGATGAGACTTACTCTAAAGTTCTATCGAACTTTAATTCACAGATCGTGCTTCTTTACTTGATTCTTTATTTGTCTCAAGGTTCAGTGTTTGTAAATTTACTATCTGTAGTTCCTGCTTTTGAGAAATTAGACAGAAAGAGTAGTGGTAGTAGAGGAATTATGACCATTTTTACAACTTATGTATAAGTATAACAAAGTGTGATGCATTTCTATTACAACAATCACTAAACTTCCCGTATAACTCCTAAATAAGGCATCATGTAGCCGGTGGGCCCGACATGATACGACATATCTCGACACGTCGGGGTTTGTCGGGGTTTGTCGGGGTTTGTCAGGGTTTGTCGGGATTCTTTAATAATGGATGAAACTTGCAGTTTTTTTTTTAATTTTTTAATTTTTTGAATTTTATATTTTTACGTCCCTGTATCGTACTCTTCTCTCGTGCGTAACTACCCAGGAAGGCCTCATGTAGCCGGTGGGCCCGACATGATACGACATATCTCGACACGTCGGGGTTTGTCGGGGTTTGTCGAGCCTGGAGTCTACATGATGCCTTAAATAAATTGTATTAATTTATTTAGGGCTCATTTTTTGTATTAACTTCTGACACCTGCAGAAAAGGCGGTTTATATAAAAATACCTACATGTAAAACTGGTCAACAACGCTGCTACTTGCTATAATATAAATCATAAAGATAAGACGGGCTAACTCGTTTTATAATTTAAAATGATTACATTAATCTTCACTCTCTAAATTATATATGCCATGAAATACGTTTAATATATCATCGCCTATTTGCCAACAAGACAAGACTGACCTTATAGAGGAATAATATACAGTTCAGTGTGTTGGCTGTTTGCTCAGTCGCTCCACCGTCCAATAAACGTTCTATCACAGCGATTGTCGTACGATTAATTATTAAGACGATACTTCCATATAAGGTAATATCTCATCCCCCTGCCTATAGTCCCTCTGCTCCCTGCTGTTTGACATCCCCACATGATATATATCTCCATTCTCCAGTCTCCACGGAGCAACAACATAATTATGTTAGCTCTAGAATTTTCCAGCGGAGAGAGAGAGAGAGTGTTCTATTCTTATATTCCCATGATTGTTCGGACCACTCCGGTAGTAATAACGTGCTGCTTGTCATCCTGTTACCGACTAAATCTTCTAAAAGAGTGATACTGTAGCCGATACAGAAACGGCTATAGTTATATATAATACTACAGCTGAATATCTCTTCTTGCCAGCTTGACGAAAATAAAGTTTAGCAGTATTGCATGCTCGAGTATTTGCTGCTGACTATTATATATATAGGCATGTTGTGAGGCGGAATGGTCCCGCTTGTTGGACGTTATGAATTATCCACTATCGCATGCCAGGAATTTGTATTGTTACATCTGCATGTCCTATTCGTGGGAAACACGTCCTGGTATCATATGCAGTTTAGAGCTTTGCTTCATTTGATGATAGGAATTTCCTTGGCTTGTTTGCACCTTCAAGTTGATACTCGCTTTAAAGCCTTTATTTTCACTGCATTACAATCTAACTCAGTAAAGAACCAGCATAGCTGTCAGGACAACTAATTTCTGATGTCCCATAGAATTCGCGAGGAATATTCCATCGTATGATACCGATTTTTGTTCATTGAACCATGGGAATTTAGCTTGCTTGTCATAACGGTTAATGAGACAGTTCTTTTGTTTTTACTGTTTTACAATAGAATTCAATCTCGGCGTAAAGATTGCCAGGTTCTATTTCTGTCGTTCAATAGAATTTTCAAGAACTTTTCATATAACAATAGAAATATTTGATTGCCAGCATTTCATGTCAATTTAAACAGAATCGCCGAATGAACTGTTCCTATTCCCATTCGACACTATTGCACCTATAAATAACGTAAAATAAGAAATACGAATCAGGAAACTGTAGATATTGTGTAGATATCGGATATCTGATAAGTATTTCTATTGTCCGATATTTCTTTTAATTTTATCCGACATTCTATTGTCCGATATTTCTTTTATCCTATATTTATATTGTCCGTTATTTCTTTTGTCTCTTAAGAAATCTCTGTTGATTTTTGTTGTCTTGGTATTCAACATGAGCAGGATTATTCTTAATCTAGAATTTTCAAACGGTCGATCATATTTTGTTGTGAAACCAGCTTTTTTTGCCGGTACCCTTAAGGGATTTCAAGTCAACTTATAAAATCAAAAAATTCACACACCAAACAATATCTCACTCCCATCGGGCAGAAATTAACCTTTAATAAATCATAGTAAGTAAATGTATAGTCTATAGAATATGCGTATGAAAACTTAGCCTAGTTAAATAAAACCTACTGGTGAGACTTCCTTCACGATTGCTATTCAGCAATGTATGGTCCAAAAATCATCACGGGAAATTATATGAGTAACAATCCCGTTGGCCATACTTCATCAGATCTCAAAAAGTCTGCACTTCGAGTTGCTATACCAAATTTGAAATTCAGCGAAATCACGCACTTTATTCTAAACTCATAAACTCAGCCCAATTGCACACAAATCAACAAAGAAGATACAGAGGCACATATTAGGTGCGGTAAAAAAAATCGAAATTATGCGGTACCGCACCCGACTATAAAGGTAAAATGTGCGGTAAGGTGTGGTAAATTTTTACCAATTATGCGGCAAATGTGCGACGATTTTTTCGAAATTTGTGCGGGAATTGTGCGGTTTTCTTTTGCATTTTCTGAAGGACTTTGGAAATTCTAAACGTATAACCGCCGCTCTTATCAAAAACAGGTCTGTTTATGTGTTACTGAGGGTGTAGTTCTTTACTAAGACCATGATTGAACCTATCTTAAATTTGATCCTTCGAACAGCTGTTGAGCAATGAAACGCAAACATAATCTTAGCAACATGATTGAACCTATATTGAGATTCAGTTATCTGAGAACAGTGACTTGATCTGGTAGAGATCAGGAGACAGTTATTTGAGGACGCCTCTTGATAGAGTCGATCAGATCCCATGCGTGGTCGCAAATATGTGACACGCTTGTTCGCATTGATCGTCAGTACTTGTAAACCATTTGATACAAGATCCATTAAGCCCACTATAAAGCCAACGCTACTATATATACAACGCTACTATATATACAACGAATAGAGCTCATTACCCGATAAAAAGGACTGCAGGTATGATCGAAGTACGGTAACGACGAGGGTTCCATAACGGCCTGGGTCACGGTCCCGAAAGGGCCTGGGTTAAGGTCCCGAAAGGGCCTGGGTCATGGTCCCGAAAGGGCCTGGGTCACGTGGTAACCGGGTCACGTGGCCTAGGCATGAGTTCCAAAAGGGCCTGGGTCACGGTCCCGAAAGGGCCTGGGTCAGGGTCCCGAAAGGGCCTGGGTCACGTGGTAACTGGGTGACGTGGCCTAGGTATGAGTTCCAAAAGGGCCTGGGTCACGGTCCCGAAAGGGCCTGGGTCAGGGTCCCGAAAGGGCCTGGGTCACGTGGTAACTGGGTCACGTGGCCTAGGTATGAGTTCCAAAAGGGCCTGGGTCAGGGTCTCGAAAGGGCCTGGGTCACGTGGTAACTGGGTCACGTGGCCTAGGTATGAGTTCCAAAAGGGCCTGGGTCACGGTCCCGAAAGGGCCTGAGTCACGGTCCTAAAAGGGCCTGAGTCACGGTCCTAAAAGGGCCCGACTTTTACCATATTTTGGTTTTTAAACTCGAAAATCTTAACGCGAAAATTTCAAAATTATGCGAAATTACGCGGAAAATGCTAGATTATGCGGAAATATGCAGAAAATTACAAAATGTGCGGAAGTGTGCGGAAAACAATAAGTTATGCGGAAATGTGCGGAAAACGGTAAATTGTGCGATCCCGCACCCATCGCACCTAATATGTGCCTCTGAGAAGATAACAGATTAATCTGAGTTAATTATCTCTTATATGCATTCACTACACTCAAAACTTTTCCGTCGTTAATATAGTGATACTTCGACGGTTCAGCAGATATTTTCTCCTTTAATTGAGCTACAAGTTTTTTATGTGTTGCTTGTTCCTCTCGGTTTCTATCTGGAGCAACGAACCAGCTGTGGTAGGTTGTACAGAGGGACTTTTTCAAATGATTTGCTCTCGAGAGAGCCTCTTTCACTGATTCGTTACTATTCATAGTCACTTTGATTGGCCTCGGCCTACCATCCTCCCGTTTCTTCACACCGATACGATTAGCAGCTACAATATCAGAGTGGTTATTGTGTTGCAAAATCTTGTCCAGTACTTCATCTGCTAAATCAGCGGGGCACGTGGAGTAATCCTCCGGAACTCCGTGGACGATGAAGTTCCTGCTCCGAGCGTCGTCTTGAACAGCAGACTGTACTGCTTTCTTCACTGTCTTCAAAGTTGGAGCTTTATTGTCGCAGTTTTTCCTGGCAATTTCGCTCCATGTCTTCATCTCCGTTTTAATCTCAGTTTGAACAGTCTCCTGCACAGATTTTAGCTGCTCTCTCTGCACTTTTATCAGTTCTGACTTAACATAATCGATGGTACCGGCTGCAGATTTGCATAAAACAATGTTACTGATCAGTGATTTGGTTAAGTTCTCAATGAGTTTTGCCATCGTGTCCTTGTTACATTTCATGAGTGCTGCATGATTCAGTTCCTCAAATTTTTCAATATTGACAGCGTTCTTCGCAGTATTTGCAGTATTGACAGCTTTTAAAACTTTTTCCACTGATGAATGCAAAGCTTCCTCTTGTGTGTGTAGATCTGCTACGTTGAATTCCATTGTCAATTGTACAAAAAACGGGCTGTACAGCACGGTGCTGTGTTAAAGTTGATAAAACAGCTGATAAGAGACGATTTAAACCGTTGCATAAGCTAGATAAAATGATTGCTACTGATAAAATGATTGCTACTGATATAAAAGCTGCAGGACCGATTATTCCAGTAATTCATATCCCTCGTGAGTTATCGTTGTAACTCTAATTTCGGTGTCCTACCAAAGAAAAAAAAAGGTCACATAATAATGAATTGCTCGGTGTATTTGAAGTATTTTGTGTCACTAATCTCGTCTTGATGGCATCTGTTCGTTCGTTAAGATATTAAGTAGGTAAATTCTGCATACCTAACAGTATTCACGCGTAACCTGTTACATCCTCTAAAATTACAATCTCTCGCCCTGCAAAATGTACGGATTTGACACGTGGAGATCGTATCTGTTTTCTCTCTTTTACATGATCTTGACTTATGTCAAAAACCCGCTGAAAGCATGCAGCTCGGACGTGCCTTGTATCGTTAATCGGTTAATTGTTGATTAGCAATTGGTGGTTCGTTAGCAGCTATCCCGTGATCTCGTCCAGAGCAGCTATCTCGTCCAGACTTTTAATGTTTACTGTTAGCAGCTATCTAGTCCCTCGTCCAGACTTACTGTTTACTTTCCGTGTTTTAAAATTTAAAATGTATTTCAAAACCCCGTCATTTATTTTATCGTCATTTATTTTATCGTCATTCATCTGTTTTAATAAGCTGGTATCGATAATGGCTTGTTATTCTTCCATGAGTCACTATATCGCGTCGTGGCAGAATAACAAGCCACAATCTATACAGTTACACGTCGCACTCACGCTGATCACGAATATTAATTAGTATCATGTTACTTGGCACGTGTCAAACAGTTTGATATATATCCTACCCAAACCACAAAAAATACACTCTTCACTGAGTGTCTGAACATTAAATCTGACAATCTCTTCTCCCCTGCAGTGAAGTAATGAACCAGAACAACAGAAAGAGTTACCGTAACAGATCCCTCTCTGTGGATAGCGAGGGTAGTCTCTGTAGCAGCAGCGGGTCCGCTCGAAGTCCTGTTACCAGTAACGAGTAAGTGTCCTGGTTTATTGTTTCAGGACCTGTTCTGTAACATGTTGTCAGACCATTCCTTGTTTTTTCTAGATAGTGTTAATACTCTGGCCGCCTTTGGTTCATGATGTGCCCAATAATGACCGTCAGGAATTTGTTTTATTCAGAGTTTGACTAACTCCTTCTCAGGACATCAGAAGCCGAAACTCTGATTAGAGATCTGAACCTAGCCTGCAGGAATATAAGCAAAAAGATCGTTGTCTCTAATGTCGATGTAAGATATTATTTTGAATTCTTAATAGTCTTCAGTTTGATAATGTACAATGTTACCTTTGACTACCACATCTCAGCCGCATTTTAACCCTAAGTTAAATTTCAGATCCCAGGCTGCAACGGTCAAGATCCACTATTTATTGATAAAGCATTAGAAGATGAATCCCAAGCATGCTTGCGGAGGAAAAATCGTCTCTTCAAACGGTCAAACACTGTTGGACATCTTGAAGCAAGCAAAATGAACAGCAACCTCAACGGCAAAAGGCGGTTTATCTTGAAGAACTCTAGCAAGAAAGCCGATGATTTGGACATAAGTGGAGAGGAGTTGAGTCTGGAAGATATGGAGTATCTGCTGTTGAGCACATCTGATAACGTATCTACAAAGATAAAGGCTCTTTATAAATTAATAGCTCTTAGAGCTTTAGAGCGCCAGTCGAGGTTTGTAATTAACAAAATAATTTGAATTTTAAGTACGTCGCTTTTTGTAATAGCCGCGGGTCCCTTTGCCTTTGGTTAGACAAACATCAATAGTTTACAATAATTATTGTCTCCTTTGCTAGCGCAATAATCGTCGAGTAAGGTTTCGACTTATTTTAGTCAACTACTTGATCGACAGTTGATCATCTGTATTTTGTTCTCAGGTCGAGTGTGGCAACGGACTTAACAACACGTGTTTATCCCTACTTCACCCTCACCACCCACACCTCCAAGGAGAAAGAAACTGCTTTTAGAACTCTCAAAACTTTCCTGATCAGCAAGATTTCCGATAGAAAGGATGTTTTGTTTGGTGACGTGTTCGATATTTGGAACAGGAGACACTCCTGAGAACTTTTCGGGGTGCCTTGCGCTGAGATTCTGTTTGGTCGCGAGCAATAATTGTGCTCAATTTATGCTATAGATAGAAATTTCTAGACAGGATTTGCGCTGAACACACCCCTAGTATTGTGTTGATGATCTGTGTATACCAATCCATGTTGGATACGACATAATAGAAACGATGAACCTTATTTGAGAAAGTTATAGTGTAGTTAAATAAGTTATGATTATTTTATTGTGATAGCGGCCGGAATTGCAAACGTTTTGATAATGGCAATTTATTTTACTAGCTGGCTCCCCTAATATAGGGGCATTTGGCATGTATAATGAAACCTGACAATTATTAAAATATAAATAAGCATATTGATATTCATATAGTCATAAATGGTATAGGCTATACTTATAGGTAATGCCAAGATTTTAGATTGATCGAGAAATAACAGATATTTATAGGGCTGCATTGCCATTACGACTGCATTATAATTGATTGTTTTTCAACTACATGTACGATGTAAGGTTAGGCCGAGATCAGAACTTGTCATTCCATGGATCTAAATAATATAAATTGTGTTTGTGATGTCAAGATTCCAGTGATAAATGATTAAGTTTTGTTGATATCATAACATCTTTCGATTCCAGTGAGAATGATAAGTTGTTAAATTTATTTATTCATCGCCAACTATCCAAATTAAGTGAACAAATTACCATATTTTAATTAATTTTCAATATTTTTCATGATATGACCTCATAAGCTATTAGATGCGTATATAATTTAAAATTAGTAAAAATAGGCTTTATCGTAAATTATTTGATATTACAGAAAATTTGTCGATATACATACATTGTGCGATTCTGAATATTACATCAAAAATTCTAATACTAGATTTAAAATGTCCAGATAATTGTTTGTACATATATAATTATGCGTGTAAGAATGATCGTTTCCACTGAACAAATTGCTTCTTACTGTCTTATTTTGGTCTTTTGGAGTCTGGTTTTAATAAAACCACAGATAGAAATCTCAGTAGTTAAACTTAATGTCGTGATACTGATATCATACTGCAAACATACGTCATACGCTGTCACTGTCACACTCACAAGAGAGGTATAAAATATGGAATATGAATTCCTGGAGTTACCTGGCACACCAATCCCAAATTGCAAATGCGCGACGCTCTTTTTATTTCGAGCTCAAATGCGTGCCCAGTGCCGAGTTGGAGTCCAACTTGGACTCAATTCTTCGCAGCTCGGCGAGGCCCAGTGGTGCATCTCGCCGATCTAATGTGGTTGCGAGAAGCATTATTTGATACGCGGTGCGGCCCAGAAGTGCATCGCGCTGCATAATCATAACAACTTGTACTTGTAGGTTTATAACTTGTAGGTTTAATAACTTACCAAAACGCGCGCCGAGTTGAACTCGTCGACAAACAAAGATTTTACGAGTATCACCCGTTAAGCCCTGGATGACTATTCGCAACCCTAACCCTCTAATCACTTATCTGATCCCAACCCTAACCCAATACCTAACAAAATTAGAGCATATGCTGTTAATTGTTACCTGGGGACCTCAGGCTATTATGTTCATAAACATATAGAGATTAGGCGGAATGACAGGCTGAGCGCGGCCCAGTAAGTTAATTGACGATGTCAATTCTTCTGTCTTCGCAGCTCGGCGAGGCTCAGTAGCACATCTCGCCGATCTAAACAAACATAATTGAGTGGGCGGTGCGGCCCAGTACACAGTAACGCATTGCGCTACAACATATATTGTATATGCAGAAACCTTAATCTTAATAACGAGAAATTAGACCAACTTCCTTATATATTTTTATATCACGTGATCGAGACAGTTTTCCGCTAATATCTCGCCAGGATGGGGAGCATTTTAACTCGGGACAGCCATGACGCCCATTTTTGGTCCCAATTATGCCTTAAATATTCACCATTCACCTTAACATTTGTAGGTTTACAACCTACCAGGACGCGCGCCGAGTTGGACTCGTCGACGGTGCAACATGAACATATGGAACAAATATTTTACGAGTATCACCCGTTAACTTAACATACTCAAAACCCAAATTTCAGGTGCTCTACTGAGTCTACTTGTAATTGTAGTTGTATTTGTAGTTGCAGCTAGTATATAGTTAATTGACGATGTCAATTCATGGCAGCTCGGCGCGGCACAGTAGCGCATCTCGCCGATGTAGTAGCGCATCATGTCGCTGTGAGAAGCCTTATTGAGTGCGCGGCGCGGCACAGTAACGCATCGCGCTACAAGTATATAGTAGTGCCCTGAACTCTTATATGGATTTTCATCAACATTAAACAAAAAATGACTGAGTTATGAGCCATGAAAAACCATATGCCCATATTTAATTTGGACATACGCACTAAATTTGATCGATTTTGGCCCATAATGCATAAATTGGTCAAATATCAATATTTTTAAATGAAGCTCACTTTATAGAAAAAGTAATTCTAAACTACACAGTCTCTATGATTATTAGCTTAACAGTGGATTTTGTGTTATTTAAACGGTGCAGGGGCCAGGGATCATATTTATAAGGCGGGGAAAACAGTGGAATGGATGAAATGATATCTGCAATTTGAATTACCGCTTGTGTGAAATTTTTGAAAAATGGTGTTCTTTAAAGTTCAAATATTATAATTTTGGTACCAAAAGTTGCGTCTGACTAAGCTTATTATTGTCTTACGTTGTATGACCCGCCGCGCACGAGTGCGCGGCTCCCCCTGTATGATGTATCGTCGAAACTCTAGTGAAGCGACAGTGGGGGTCACCTTGTGATACAAGCTTATTATTACGATCTTGTAAAAATCCTGAATTAAATATTCGATATTTTAGGAGCTATGTGCATTTTAAGCAAGAAATTACCTGTTTTTCGTCCTTTTTACACTCTTGCAATGCACATGGCACAGGAGGCCCACATACAGCTCGACGTTATCGTGCTACACGGTGAATTTGCATTATTCATACTTAGAGGCAACTTTTGGTACCAAATTTATCAAAATCAGAGACAAAAAATGTTGTGCTAATCGCTTGTCTCTTATTACATTTACACTGACTAGAAATGGCCCGAGGCAAGTGCTACGAAGTACGGAAGTAGCGCACGCCGGGCTAGTCCATTATTATTAACAATGGTCAACGCGGAGGCTGTATTCGGCAATAACGATGCGATCTTTCCAGGGCGAGATCTTTCTAACCGGGCCTATCGGATCACATATATAGCTTAGAAGCTCAAAAAGAGTGCCGCACATAGGGATAGGCGCACCTGGTAGTGGGAAACTCCACAAATAATTCAGTGGGTCATTGGGAAGTTTGTCGACCTCGCTCTGGAATATAACAACTTAGCATGACTAAAGTTTAATATTTGGTACCTTTTTTTTGCTAATTAACACTAACACTAACAGTGAAACTAAATATTGTCTTTTTAATATGTTAATAAAGTTGAAAAGAGTACTAATAATTGTACTAAGATGTACTACTACTAAGTTTAAACCAATCATCTGAGTGCAATGCAGATGAAGTAAAGTTAACAATGTAACAGCTAACAAAACGTAAAAGTAAAACTTAACACTCCGCTTTCTAAACAATTCCAGCTTTTGTTAAACAAATTATCGTTAACAGTGAACAAACATAAAATAGCTTGAAACATAAATTATGTAATATTATAGAATAAACTTTAATGAAAAATCCTTCGTGCATGCTGAAAAGACAGCTATGAGCTATTGAATCCATTCCATATTTCAAAGAAGAGCGACAAAAACCCCGAGATTTAATTATTTTATGTTTTACCTCATCCAAAAATATTTGCCTCCTCAAATATCCACTCTCTACAATCATGAGACTTTTGATGGTATTCCGGTTCGGAACTTCAAAAGTTGCAACATTTAAATAAAAATAACCAGTAAAATCCGCGTTATCCGCGATACCATGCTCGTGGTCGGAAACAATTCATGATTCATGAAATGCGAATCTGGTTACATATTATTATCCTCATATTATGTGCCTTGAAATAAAACTGATTACAATTTAAAAACTCCAGTTCTTTGCTTGCATGCATAACTTCAACTGATTGAAAGAAATCGTGAACTCTGTGATGTAGCCTTTGGATCAAAGAACTTCTCTTAGGCACCAACGTGAACAGCCTGCAATGATGAAACTTGTGATACATCATACAAAACGCGATTAGAATTAAATAAAAAGGGTCGCACTATGTCAAAGAAGCAACTTTCCGCAATAATTCAATTCTTATAATCCTAAAAGGTGAGCTCTAAAACTCACATGGTCAACATGGTTGTTATCCTCCTCCTTGTTTTTAAGTTGCAGAAACTTCTCCTCGTCGCCGGCACCTCCTGATCTAGGGCAGGAAGAACCGGCTAGTTGCTCTATCACCGCACATCCAACTGCATCACCTGTTGGAAAGTGATGATGTTAGGCGGGGAATATTACACGTGTAGTTCATAAGAATTAAGAATATGTTGAGTGGTGCACACTGGTAGATGGAACGATTAAACAAAATAGTTTGACTGTTTAAAGTCTGTTTTATTCTCTCAAATACAACTAGTACCTGTAAAATGTTAGATCTAGACGGATACCAAAGGAGGGGGAATTATTGACTCTGAAGACGCAGAAATAACTAACCTACAACATTAGTCATGGTCCTGAACCTATCCAGGAGCCAGTCGATAGTGAGGATGAGAGCGATATGCTCGGTGCCGAGATCCACAGCGTTCAGGACCATTACCAGGGTAACAAGACCAGCACTGGGTATTCCTGCTGCTCCGATAGCGGCCACTGTGGCAGTCAGCGCCGTGATCACGATCTCAGGGTTCGTTAGTTCTCGGTCGTTCAGCTGGGCGATAAACAAACACGCTACAGCTTCGTACAGTGCCGTTCCTGGTGAAAGAAGGAAATCAGAGATGAGCGATGGAATTTGTACTTGGTTCATGATATTATCAGTGGTAAATGGTAGGGACTAGGGCCACTCGACAAGGACACAAATCACATATTTTTCCTTAAATCTGAGGGCCAAATATCGCGTTTTTCTATAAGGGAGTGTTCACACTCAGCAAGTTTTTGGCCATTTTTGGCCTCGATTTTAAGATCGCCTCTCGAAGGGTAACGAGTAACGACCCTTCGAAAGACGATATTCGAATCGGTAGGTACAGAACAAATATTTTCGGCACACAATGATCAGGGTAGCATGAAACGTAGATTAAAGTGGTTTCCATGAAAACTTGTTTGACCGTTGTAAATCGATTTTATTTTTTGCGAAAATACGTACATTTAAATACGTTTCATTTGAATTCTCCAATTCCGCTCTCCTGCTGCGTGTTAGTATAACACCATATAATATATTATTGTTATTGTTTCATTTAAGTAAATACTTTCATTTCCGCATATCGCAGTTTTTAATGAAAAATAAATTAAACTAAATAATTGATGAGGCAAATGCTCCGATTCAAATTACAAATAACGCTCATTGATATTAATTAATTGGATTGAAATTTGATGTTTATATTTTAATTAAGAGAATTATCGCAGATGAAAGACGAGAAGTTTTAATCGAAGAAATGACAACTTACTTTAATTGATCGATTAATTAACGTAAGTATAAATACTTTGGTGGGAGATAAACAACATCGTATCCGATTCAGTCTTTTACAACAAGACAACTCAGTTTTCTTGTTTGCGCTTTTTTTCGAAACTATTGAAGATTTATCATTGATTTGTCAAGTTGACACGAATTTATTTTCCTTTTACTAAACTTCGAGTTGATTACATATTATACCATAACTAACTCCTTAACTCTTTAGAAATCACTCTAAAAACACCAACATGTCTTCTGAACTGGACCAACTGAAAGTAATCCATGAAGAGCTCAGACTTCAGAAGAGAGCTATCGACCGAGAAACTGAGGATACCAGAACCAAGACTATCGAGGACAAACGAGTAGCTGCAGCTGAGATCGAGAAGCTACAACTGGATCTGGAGTCCTTGAAGGAAGAAAGTGCAGCTCTCACCGAAAAGAACAAAAACGTAGAAAGCAACGTAGCAAGTCTTAAACTAGATCATGAAGAGAAGAAGAAGAAACAGGAGGAAGATTACGACAACCAGAGACGTGCCAAGCAGAAGCTGCAGTTCCAGGAAGCTAAACTTTGCACCAAGAAAGTGAACGTTGAGAAGAAATGTGACCCAGTTGAAGTACATAAACTTCAGATCCAAGAACTTGAAAAGGAGGTGGAACACAACAAAAACGAGCGGGAGGAGGTCAAGAAGATCTATGAAACTGAGATGAACAAATTAGACAACATTCTTTCTAAAGTAAATTTCCAGAAGAAGACCTGGGAAAAGAAAGTTCAGGCTGCAAGAGAACAGCTCCTGAAACTGAACGCTAACTGTATCAATATCAGGGAATCTTCCAGAAAGGAACTCTTCGAGAAAGATCTGCTTCTCCAACGTTTGGTTCTGGATACAAACAGGTGCCAAAAGTCTATCCCTGAACTTGAGGCAAGCACAGCTGTTCTTGAGAAAATGATCAAAGAATAGACACTTTTATTTTTTTTGTGGATAGAATAGAATGAGAATAGAAATAGAATGAGAATGAATTAGAGTAAATGTATTTTTCAGATTTATACTTTTGTTTTTCGATTTGATAATTTTTGAGATAGGTATTATATTTGACGATTTTTATACAGGGTAAAAAGTCGCGATATCTTTATCCTTATTATAATATATTTATTCCTGACATTTATTGATCATTTTGCAGCTAAACTTATTAATCTAGTCTTTTATTGTGAATCCAGACATAATCATTCAAGTAAAGTCCGCAATGATCAGTTGTGACTCCACTCAATTAAACAATCAATAAATTTGAGTAAATGTTGCTTTTTCTTCGCACGTGATATTTGAAAGTATCATCGTAACAGTAAATACTAAAAACCGAATAAAGCAAATAACCAAATTCGTTGGCATTTTTCATAAAAAAGATCCTAATGTCGGAATGTCATCAGGCATAATTTCAAGATATCTGCATTGACTTGATGAAATTTAGATCTTGAACAGGTATCTATTAAATTGATGCGCTAAAAATAACCAAGAGAGCACTCACCGTCCATGTTAATGGTAGCACCAACAGGAATAACAAAGTCCACAACATCTTCAGATACTCCAGCTTTCTTGACACACTTCATTGTAATTGGAATAGTCACGGTGGAAGAGGCGGTTCCTGATAAGTTGAAATGTTAATAATATTATTCGTCAATATCAGACTGTTGTTTGTCATTTATTTACAAGTTTTACCATCAAGTTTATAAATTCATAGGTCGGGCACAACTAAACATTGGATAGAGTCGAAATGTGTTGAAACCAAAACGAAATTACTGCGATCAGTTCCAGGAACAAACACTAGCCATGGCAATCACACATGATTACAATAAATTGCTATCGCCGGATACAAAATCGATGAAATCATGCAGGTCGAGATCAACTATCAATGTGAAAAAGAAAAACGAACCGAAGGCAGTGGCCATGGCGGGTAGAAGAGATTTGTAGTACAGCAGAGGGTTCTTCTTAGCCAGAGCAAACAGGATAACGGGGAGTACAATAAAGAAGTGAATGGCTAGACCGACCAACACTGTCACCACATAGAGTCCTATCTCCTTGGCATACTCCGACACGTCAGACACAGAGTACTCCGCCATCACTAGGAACATGATTCCAATGGGCGAGTACCTGAAATAAGGGGCTGTTGATATTACATTTCTTATTATGCATATTATGCATATTATGCATATTATGCATATTATGCATATTATGCATATTATGATATGGATAGCATGGGGTGAACACTGAACGTTCATCTGCTTATCGATATCACGTAAGTATAGGTTACAAAATCAGTTTCAAAGTACAGGGTTTTTTGTATTGTAATAATTATCAGCCCTAGGATTGATCGGATTGTTAACCTACCACAGAACCACTCTGGTGAGCTTGTTGATGATCACATTGAGAGACAAACAAAAGTCAAGGAACGGTTGGCACTCTTCCTTGTTCGCCATTATTATCACACCAAATGTTATCGAAATGCTGAAAAATACGTTAATTACAATAAAGCCATATTTTGGGGACAAATAAAGCAACTATATCATGTTATCTTGAATAAATAAATTATGAACACAGAAAAGGGTACAACTCTCCCAAACCACACTTACAAGATGACACCCAGCATGTTCATACCCTCCACCGGTTCCTCCATAACCCCGTGATCGTACGTAGTCCTGGTCTTCTGGTGACTCATTGCTACAATGTTAGCTGGCACCAGGTTCTTGATCATGTCCCCCACAAAGTCAAGGACGGTTGTGTTCCTCACGCCCAGTTCCTCTCCTTTGCTTCCTTCCGCTCTACCGCCGGGCTGGATCGCGCATACCAGTACCAGACCTTAGGAGTTAGGAGTAGGGGAGAGGTGAGCTTGTTATCAACTGATTACTGACAAATTTAAACTTTATAATTATATAACTGTAAATCCAACGCTTCAATAACCATTATAGTTTCTAGCAGATCTACCTATAATAGCGGCGAACAGTGTAGTAGAGACGTAGTAGAGAATGGTTATTCCAGCCTGTTTGTTGAACTTGCCCCGCTTGTTCCCGGCCAGTCCGAGAATGAGACTTGTCATGACCAGGGGCAGGACCAACATGTTCAAACCTCGGAGCAGCAAGTCTCCTGGGATCCTGTAACAAGATGTTGGGAATAAGAGATACTTTCAACTAAAAACTTCTAGCTAAAGAGCGAATGATTTAACTCAAAGTCTCATGTTAAAGACCAAAATTGTAAATTAATTTAAATAATGTGCAGCGTCAAGAATAATACTTAAATCTATAAAATGTGCGGTATAAAAATCAAGTAAGCTAATGAAAAGAAGACACCAGATTATCGACCACTCCACATTAAGGGAATCTAAAACCTCTTATTCTGATTAGTTACCACAAACCTGATTCCCTTGATAAGCTCGTCAGTATGTTTGGGTTCCTCATCTTTACTACTCCTGATCAGATATCCGCAGATAACTCCCACAATGACTCCAGCTATCGTCAGTATCGACAGCAGATTATTCACCAGCATTCGTCTAACTTTCCCTCCGCCAGCCATGTTTAACTTGGTGCTAGCAAGATGCCACATATAGCACATTTTTATACGGTTTAGAGCTGAACTTAGTGTCCAGTGAAAAATCTTTTAAAAACAAAAAGTGATACAAAATCAATTATAACTCAATCGCAGATAAATAATCTTGTTTTAAATTGAAGTTTTACCATCACGCACTATACTCTATACATCCTAACCACAATCAATCAGTTGGATTTCGGAGATAACAGTTGAGAGATAAGAGAACAAGACGATTAGCACGTAACACAACTGTTAATATTGCACCCAAATAAAAGGTGATGCTTCCAGAATTTAAACTGAAAGCTTCACTCATTTTACAAAATGCGGGCATTGATAGTCGAAAAACTATTACTAAGGTCAGGGTAGAGATTCAGATATCAACTTCACAATTAAATAGTTGCTATGACACAAAAAAAACATTTCTTAATTCTAAATGTTAGCCCAAATTGTTGACAATTGTATACAAAAATATTGACATTTTACGCCTAAACTCATCAGGAAATTAAAAGATAGCAATCCAATATCCAGTTTTAAACCCACACCTTATCTTACCAATCAAATGCCGATATCACTCGTAATCACCATAATTGTTTTTGTTTTGCCGTCCGCAAGAATCAACGACGAGATCAAACGTTGGCGTTGAACTAATTAAGAAGAAAAAACTAAAGTATAGAACAGCCCCGAAGGGCTAAGGGAGTATTGGCCATTACCGATCGTTGGTAGAAATAAATTTATTGGCTACTTTCGCATCCAACTGACATGCATGGGCCGCGGCATTTTACATGCAGGCGTCGCCTAGATCTAGAAAGGAAATGTATAGAAATAACCGTCATCTCGAATATTCAGTGGAGCTGCATCTGATGTCGCAGGTTTCTGTCATGCAATAGTACCAGTTTCTACCTCATTCAGATTAAAAAGTAAAGAAATATTAGCAAGAATTAAAACTATCAGTCTGACTTTTCCAGAGTCTAGCATCTACCAAATCAGTGCAAGCACAACTGATGTTTTGTCCAGAAGAGCTATAAAATAAACGATTTGACATAAATGTCAGTAAATTTACCAAATTACTGATTACGTGCCACATTTGAGCACAAAACTACCATATTAAGATATAAAGAGGATTTATATAATATAATAAAGAAGAGTTAAGAGCCAGCTGAGTAACAGGTGCTTTATGTAGTCTTCTAAGTGAATACAACAATCCTCAGTGTAAAATGTTTACAACAAATAAGCTGGGAAAAAGACAGAATATAAAAAACACAAAACGCAATGTAATGTAAATATAAGATTAGGAGGAGCTACGATTGGTATTGCTGAAGCACTAGCTCACAGTTAAACCACTGTATGAGAATATGAGACTTATGAGATTATTTTTCCTTGGAAATGCTAAGTTACAATGAGAAATTAGGGAAAAAACCAACTTTTATAATTAAGGGGTGTTTCTAATGATCAGGGTTGGCTACAGAGTTACCTGACGGCGACAGAGCGGACGAACAGGACCATGACAAACACAGGAACACAAAATAATTTTAACAAATACCTTCGCAAAACTGGTCACACAGCCCTAGTCTCTGTCCAGAACAGGTCACATGGCCCTGGCCCCTGGTCTCTGTGGCAATACGAACACGGGATATTGTGATGTGAAGTGACCGATTAACGGGACTACACGTAGTAAAACATGTTATAGTTCTTGGTGTGCCTCTCTCTCTCTTGGAGGTGTCAGGTTGCAAAACAACGGGACTACTACCTGGTAGTGACATGTGAACTGGAACGTTATTACCCTCAGGGTTATGTATTGGGAGCCGAGGTGGAATCACAGAGTGTTGATTAGTGATTACCCGTTTAACTCATCAACAACGTTTCTGTAATACTAATAGAGTGAATAATTTATCTGCAGAGAAGACAGTCCGGTCTGATGAAAGTGAGTTTGGATGGAGATAGACTGCAACGGAGTGGAAGTTTGGAGTGTGGAATTCAGAAGCTTATCAGAAATGTGCCATGAAACAATGAAGGCCACAAATCAGCCACCATCTTTTATAGACCAGCATCCGGTGAGAAATATGTTGATGTCGTTTGGTTTTAGTTGACACGAATTCACCAAATATACTTTTTCAGTGGTGTGTGAGAACCCAAGCTAGCCCAACGGCCAACGCTGACTTCAACCCGTTCAACTAACCATTAATTCCGGGGGTTACTGCCATGGAACAGTGACCTGATAACAATAGTTCGTGAGATAGGGCTCTGATATCATTACTTGGGGAAACCAAAATGTCGACTACCGGGTAGTCGATTTTTAGACGGTTTTTGCGGAAAGTCGCGTTAAAGTTGATGCCGTGGTGTCAGTAAAATGGTATGGAACCCTCCATATATATCGTCTCGAGCTTTATATATAGTAAGATAGTAAGTTATAAATATGGTTCATCCCAAAAACGAACACTATTAGTACTACACCTGGGACTACACTGGAGAGAGAACCGTCCCTGAACTAGAAGATCAAGAAGAAATTTACTTGTAATTTTTCAAATTTCATTTATTATTTTATTGATTTTCTCAAATATTGGGTTTTATTTGTAAAATAAAGAAATGAAAAAAAAAATCCCCAAATACCATGATTTAATTTGGGGTAAGAAACGAGTTGGTTTTCGGCAAAAAATCCCATATTTTCGTTCCCAAACCATTTAGGTCACTGGAATTTCGTCGAGTATAAATATGTCTCGTAAGGTACTATATAAAAATGAAAATCAATAACGACACATTGGGCATTTACAATTGCTATAAAATCTATAATTTCAAACATGTTGCCAGCTAGTAAGCTAGTTGTTGACAACATCAACACAACCGAAAACAAGGTTAATGAACAATCAACATAACATACATAATTTACATACATAATTTACATTACATTACATAATTAACTAAGCTTAAGATCTTTATCTTTAAATAATTTTAAAGTTTTTTCGATGTAAAATGTACGATACTGGCTTTGTATTGTCCATGTCATTAATCATTAAAATCTACCGGAATCATTTCATAATACTTTATAATATAATATCACTTCATAATACTTTCAGGTAATCTAATGAAAATGTTTTTCTATCTAAACGAGTAGAATGCGATCTCTTCTGCTATTATAAGGAATTTAAGTATCACTACGAAAAATATTACATGAACCATATCACCAATATGACTAGATTCTGTTCTTAATTGAATAGAAAGACGGTCAATTTTATACATATCGCTGTAACAACGCTATGACAACGCTATAGCTCTATACTCTATAGCAACGATATATATTATAGATATCGTGTACAATTGCACAGAAAGTAAAAAACGAAGCTACCTGAAGAAATTTGATGGTAAAACGGAAGAGGAAGTCTATAGATTTTCTCCAAATTTCTTGCTCGGAGTCCTTTGTTAACTTCTTTAAATCGGGAGTGAAGTCTTTCTTTAGCATCATCAATTTGTCGTATATTGTATTTGTGAACCTCTGACAGTTGTCAAAGATAAAATGATACGGTTTTATGAGTTCCTTTGTTTCCCCAATTGATAGCATCATCTGATTAAAGGTCGCATTTCCTTGAAAGCCCTTAAAATCTTCAATCAACTCTGGATAGTACTGCTTCCAAAATGCTGTCGTTATCCGTTCTTTGCCTCTCAACTTACCTAAAACGTCACTTTTCCGATTACTTGACTGAATAATAATTTCTGGTCCATATTTTTCAATTGATATCCACCAAGGTTTTGATACAGGGTGGATACGCTGTTCTCGCAATTCAGGGAAGTTATCATAAGCTTCGTTCAAATATTCTATGAACTCATAGTCGGAGCCAATTACCAGAAAGGAATGATAAAGAAGATATTCTGATAGAAATGGAATGTAAACCTCAGTTAAAATGGGTTCTCGGTACTTTTCGATCTGGAATATTTTGTTACTAACACTGTTAGCTCGTTCATCACTAGTAGGCATTTTATTTGGATATTGTGCAACTGCAAGTTCCCCATCTAAGTTCAAAATATTCAGTGTTTTAACGTCTATGAAGAACTCAGCAGGTCCGTGGGGTGTATATTTGTAAACAAAGTATGTCTGACCTTCGATATTACGGAGTTCGATAGGTGATCCTACCTTAAGCTCAATTTTATCGATGTCGAGGGATCCACGCCTAGGATAAAGATACCATCGAATCCGTTCAGCCCAAAGACCACCGACTCTCAAGCTTATAGATTTCACAACTGATGCCACTTTGTCGTTAACAATACTCTGCACGTTTTCGATATAATTACAATCCCAATCCCATTTCTTCTTCAAGGAAAGTCTGTTAAATATCATTTTACTGAAAGCGCGATTGTGTGAACACGTCCTAACTTCACGTGTTTCATCCGCCTCATAGAACTGTTCTAGAAAAGCTATAAGATCCGGCACTATTGATCTATAGGAAAGAGTGGATTTTGCTTTATCCTCGATGATCAATTTCGGTTGAAGACCTTGGTTGCTGCGGGGAATCCTCCCAAAATTAGCGATAACAGTCTCCCGGTTATTGCAATCGAAACTGTCTTGAAAGTAAATGTACTGTCCATCACTTTCAATTGTAGCATAACAACTGGAAGCTTTGTCATGACCACGATAAAACTTTAACAAAACAAATGTTTTACTGGGCTCCAATGTGCTGATCAGATCCTGTTCAGAAACAGTTTCATAAATTTGAACTTGAACAATTGTAGTGCATTCAAATTCTTTCCGGATGTAATTGGAGATAAACTGTCTCGCAAGAGGAAATGACAACAGTGTCTCTATCAGAATGTTGTCCTTATCAGGGCGAAGAGGCATCCCATTCTCTCCAGGCTGGTGGATTGTTACAACGAGCCCCTCCAGTTTCTTAAACGGAGGAATAAAATATGGAAGTAAGGGAGCCATTAGTATTATTATTGCCATTATTATTATTAATGCTACAACAATAATAACGATTCTTTTCACCATCCCAACCGTTGAATTGAGCCACATATTTGAGCGATGAGTTATCCC